GATTTGCATGCAGTTTAAATAACATGCAGTTATGTAATACTTTGTTGAAACTAAGCTTTTCTGTGTGTAGGAGGCTAAAGAAGCTCTGGAGGCAAAGGAGCGTTATATGGAGGAAATGTCGGACACAGCGGACGCCATCGAGATGGCGACGCTGGATAAGGAGATGGCTGAGGAGAGAGCAGAGTCTCTGCAGCTGGAGGTGGATTCCCTCAAGGAGAAAGTGGATGAGCTCACCATGGACCTGGAGATCCTCAAGCATGAGATTGAGGAGAAAGGTACTGAAGAGCTGATTTTATCATTGCAGATGTTGTATCCAGGCCTCATTTCTGTTAAATCAGGACATGAACAATCAATACAAATACTGAAGTTTGAGTCTGGGTTTTAAAGTATGTAAAATGAACATCAATTTAGAGTGAAAAGTTTGCAAGCTTTAATGATGAGCTTTTCTTTTTTGTTTTGTTTTTGGGTTTCTGTCAGGCTCAGATGGTGCTGCCTCCAGTTACCATGTGAAACAGCTGGAGGAGCAGAACAGCAGGTTGAAGGAAGCTCTGGTCAGGTAGGTCTGCTGATGTCTTCACGAAAGCCACAATTATACTGAACTGAACTTTAATTCAGAACTTTACAAGCTCCAAAATACTGATGCGTGTTTTTGTGTCCAGGATGCGTGACCTGTCTGCGTCAGAGAAGCAGGAACACGTGAAGTTGCAGAAGCAGATGGAGAAGAAGAACGTGGAACTTGACTGTTTGAGAAGCCAGAAGGAGAAACTGCAGGAAGAGATGAAAGCGGCAGAAAAGACCATCGATGAGCTGAAAGAGCAGGTCAGTGGACCTTATGACTCAGCTGTATGTAGAGGAAGTGAAAGGTAGCTCCCCCCAGGCCTGTGATCTTTTAATTCGTGGGATGGATAACAGCAGAAAAACAACATGTGCTCTGTTTCAGGTGGATGCAGCCTTAGGCGCAGAGGAGATGGTGGAGACTCTGACAGAGAGGAACTTGGACCTGGAGGAGAAAGTCAGAGAGCTGAGAGAGACAGTCACAGATCTGGTGAGTGACAATCGCCCAGAACAAACATGGCTTAAAAAAAAAATCCCAAAGTGATTTTCAGTCCATAAACACTCTGATTTATTTCTCACTATCTTGTTTTACTGCTCAGACTGGCCTACCTGCATACATTCATAGTAATAAGGTCTGAAAAAATTGAAGTATTGCTGTTTGCTGACTCATTTCATTAATAATATGGGGCCGGGGTCATTAATATGCATTTGGAGCCCTCTGGTGTTTGTCATCACTGCAGCTTTTGTTGGATTAAAGTGCTCCTTTGGTGTGCACTGACCTAGAACAATGATCATATGATCCTACACAAGAAACTCGTCTGTCTTGTGCCTGTCATTAAAGAACGTTGTTTTTTCCAAGAATAAACAAAACATGAGTTTATACAAGTTGCAAAATCTCATTATTATCCCACAAGAATTAATTGATCTAGAAAAACAGAGACAGATTTCAAAAATCAAATTCAAAAAAAGGAGGTGGCCCTGATTGTTTGTGTGCACGTCTCCTTCGTGCAGGAAGCTATAAATGAGATGAACGACGAGCTGCAGGAGAACGCCAGAGAGACGGAGCTGGAGCTGAGGGAGATGCTGGATCTGGGAGCAGCGAGAGTCCGAGAGGCAGAGAAACGAGTTGAAGCCGCACAGGAGACCGTAGCCGATTACCAGCAGACCATCAAGAAGTACCGCGAGCTCACAGCTCACCTACAGGTAAACATGTAGAGGAAATATGTAAAACGTGTTTTCACATCTAACCTGTTAATCACGTGTTGGTGTCCTACAGTCAGTCAGTCACGATTGTTCTCATGTGTTTGCTGCAGGAGGTGAACAGAGAGCTGACCAGCCAGCAGGAAGCCTCAGCAGAGCTGCAGCAGCAGCCGCCAGCAGAGATGTTTGATTTCAAGATTAAATTTGCAGAGACGAAGGCCTACGCCAAGGTCAGAAACAATCACAGGGTTTTGGTCTGAATAATAAGTAGCTCTCATCCTCTTTTCACGTGTTTACAGGTTTTAAATCAAAACTTCTGATTTTAACTTTGGAGCTAAACAAAACTTCTAATGTCTGTGTATGTTTTAGGCTATTGAGATGGAGCTGAGGAAGATGGAGGTGGGTCAGGCCAACAGACACGTTTCTCTTCTGACCTCCTTCATGCCAGAGTCCTTCCTCCGTCACGGTGGAGACCACGACTGCATCCTGGTGTTGTTGCTCATCCCCAGACTCATCTGCAAGGTAAAAGCCACTGCATCTTTTAGAAACTGGAAGAAGAGACTTGCTCTTCGTGAGGTTTAAACATGTTTTTGTAACTGTTTACATGTCTTTTAGGCCGAGCTGATCAGCAAACAGGCACAGGAGAAATTTGACCTGAATGAAAACTGTGTGGAGCGAGCTGGCTTGAAGGGAGCTTTGGGTGAGCAGCTGAGCTTCGCGGGTGGTCTCGTCTACTCGCTCAGTCTGCTGCAGGCCACGCTGCACAAATATGAGCAGTAAGTTTCACCACAGACTCTAAACTAAAGATTAACAACTATTCTATCAGTTTTTTAAGTTGTAACTGTATTTTCAGTGTTAATGTCCTGGCTGTGCCGGACGCTGTTTCACTGCTTCCAAATAAAGAATTTTTTCAGGGGTTGCTTATCATTAGAGTAACTCCTCCATACGCTCTTCTTGTGCTTGTCAGAGCTCTGTCTCAGTGCAGCGTGGAGGTCTATAAGAAGATCGGCTCTCTGTACCCAGAGATGAGCGTCCATGAGCGATCTCTGGACTTCCTTATTGACCTGCTGCACAAAGACCAGCTGGATGAGACGGTCAATGTGGAGCCGCTCACCAAGGCCATTAAATATTATCAGGTACACACAAACAAACTTAATGCATGATTACTGCAGTTTAATATACCTGTGTTTTATTAAAACAAAGTATTTAATGTCTAATATTCTGCCTTATTTTCATTATATTTATATTATTTATTTTTATACTATAATAGATTTTCAAGATATTATGGTATATTTTTCTATATTGTATTACAAAATTCATTTGCATTATGATGAAAACATGCAATTTATACTCCTACTGCTTGTTTAATGATATTTGTCCTTTTTCAGCACCTGTACAGCATCCACCTGGCAGATCAGAATGAGGACTGCACCATGCAGCTCGCTGATCACATCAGAGTGAGTATCGACATCACCTGCAGTCTCCGAGGAATCTGTAGGAGGTTTATAAACGACATCGGCCCTCAATCCAGCTTCAATCTTTTTTTCATGTATTTTTATTAAGATGCTTCTGTTTCTGCTGCTTAAAGAAAATAGACTTCACTGGTTACTCGTGGCTTATGTTCATGTGCAGTTTACCCAGAGTGCCTTGGACTGCATGGCTGTGGAGGTGGGTCGTCTGCGGGCATTCCTGCACGCGGGTCAGGAAAAAGCCGATCTCGCCGTGCTGCTGAAGGATCTGGAGACATCCTGTAGTGACATCAGGCAGTTCTGCAAGAAGATCCGTCGCAGAATGCCTGGAACTGACGCGCCCGGCATCCCAGCGGCACTTAGCTTCGGACAGCAGGTAACCATAGTGACCAAACCATCAAGTTAAAAAAAAAAACCCAAACAACAAGAACCCCAGATCCATGGTGAAAGTCACAGTAAAAAAACTGTTTTTTATTTTTTAAAATCTGTTTTTCATTTCATGTTCGTTTTCTTCGTATCTTACCTTTTTACCCAACAGGTGTCAGACACCCTTTCAGACTGCAGGAAACACCTGACCTGGGTGGTGGCAGTCCTGCAAGAAGTGGCAGCAGCCGGAGCTCAGATGATGTCACCTCTCGGTGAACAGGAGGGGCTGTCGGCCGTCAAACTGGAGGACGTGGCGTTCAAAGCTGGAGAACAAGTAGGTACATTAGTACTTAATTGATAAAGGCCAAGTGACCTGACTGAGACGTATGTCCAGGACACTGCTTAGAGTAAATTAGTCATTTGTAATTCAGAATTGTGGCTGACAACAAAAAGTAATATTGATTTAGGTGCAAAAATTCTTTTATAGCAGAATATTTCAATTAAATGAATTAAAAACAATGCAGTGACACAGTGACAACAGTTTCCATTAGAAGTCATCTTGCAGCAGGAATTATTGGAAATTTTGCAAGCCAGCAATTTTTTGAATGAACTCAATGTGAGCTGCGAAAGTGTTTATGTAACGGAAACTATTATAAAAGTCTCACCTGCTAATCGAGGAGTTCATGCACTTTGACTTTTGTTGTGTGTCTGAGCATGTTTATGGACAACTGTTTTGACAGCCTCCTGGACAATCGTACTTTCGTTTTCAGATCTATGGATCCCAGGGTGCCAACCCCTACGAGTATCTGCGACAGTCCTGTAGCATCGTCATAGCAACCATGAACAAGATGGCGACTGCTATGCAGGAGGGAGAGTATGACTCAGAGAAGCCTCAAAACAAGGTAATTAGCTCAGTCTGGGGCCACTGTGAAGGTGCGTCGGTATTTTAGTTCTGGCTTTGTGAACCCAGAATATTATTTTCATATTACTCCGTTTTTCTTCCAGAACCCTCCGCCAGTAGATGTGCGAGCGGCAGCTCTTCGAGCAGAGATCACAGATGCAGAAGGACTCGGCTTGAAGCTGGAGGACAGAGAGACGGTCATCAAGGAGCTGAAGAAGTCTCTCAAGATCAAGGTAGAGAGAAGGAGCAAATTCACTGTGAATAAAAACATTAAAAACACAGAACTGCCGAATCTTTTGTCAGGTTAGAGGTCATGCAGCTGAAATGATAGGTATGTATCTGGAGTTTATTGTGTAATCGTGTTTTCTGAACTGGTCAACGTTCACATCTGTACACACTGAGGGAATCTGCTCCAAATTATCTGAAGAAAAGTAACAAATTCTGCAGAGACACAGTGTTTTGATTTAGGGGGGTATGTGTGCTTTTTCAGGGAGAAGAGCTGAGCGAGGCGAACGTGCGTCTCAGTCTGCTAGAAAAGAAGCTGGACAGTTCATCCAAAGATGCAGACGAACGTGTTGAGAAGATCCAAACTCGACTGGATGAAGCCCAGACTCTGCTGAAGAAGAAGGAGAAGTAAGAATAAGAACACGTCTGTAGATTACTGAGATCTACAGTTGTGTGATGTTGTCCTCTCCTCTGCAGAGAGTTCGAGGAGACGATGGACGCTCTGCAGGCCGACATCGATCAGCTTGAGGCAGAGAAGGCCGAACTGAAGCAGAGAATCAACAGCCAATCAAAGATGACCATCGATGGGCTGAGAGGAACCGGGCCGTCAGGAATCGCTTCCATTGTCACAGGAATGGCCGGAGGTGAGTGAAGCAGCTGCATAACATGCTCTTAGTTTGGTGGTTCTCTGGTAATAGATAAATTCCCACTTTAACTAACCTACCTGATAATCACACTGCAGGATTGATACTGAATTTTGTGGTTATATATCATTATTTTAACTCCAGTTTAATACCTTTCCTCAACAACCAATGATTCTTCTCTCCGTATAACTCTGCTTTAATTCCTCTTATTTTCACCTACTCATTCTTCAGAGGAACAAAAAGGTATCTACTTGCTTCTATTGGCATCTGATGTGATGATGCATGCTTATTTATTTTATTTTTTTACCTTTAGTGGTTCACTCGCATGATATGAGAGGAGTTAAACATGACATGCATGTGTCTGCAGGTCTGGAAATTGCAAGGTGTCAGAAAACAAACCCATTCACTACAAATAATAATACCACTAAACCAGGACGTTGTAGCACAAGAAAGAGCTTTGAATTAAATTGAAATAAATAATCTGACGGTGGATCAAACAGCATCATATTGTTTGTGTTGTACTCAGTATCTAAAAGTCTTAGTAAACCTTGTAGGAACTCATTTTTGTGTATATGCATTGTTTTGGCATGCACACCATATCCCTCCCATGTCTTTAAGGACATCTGCTTATTATTTATGCATATGTTTGTATGCAAGTCAGTCAGAATGCACAGGAATGGCATCTGCCAAGTAAATGCAGTGGAATAAAAAGTCAAATGTATTTTTGCTTCCACCGCCATGCACCTCTAGCATGCAAGAGGATTATTTACTTTTTCATCAGAACTCAATGTTAAAGACGAGAGTGCAAAGCTGTGGTCAGAGGGTCAAACGAATGTGAAAATACTGCCAACATTCAGGTTTAAATAAAGCTTTTGCTGCACTCAAATACTCATAAGGCGTTCCTGTTATCGTTCACAGCGAACATGGTGTCAGGTGTCGGCTCTGGATCGGGCGTTCAAGTGATCGACTCACCTCTGCTGACTCAGCAGATCGAAGCTCAGAGGCTCTGCATCAAACACCTGAAGAACGAGAACAACAGGCTGAAGGTAACGAATGCCTCTCCACCACCTCAGCATGCGACGGATGCAACAGTGAAGTCACACTTTAGAGGTCAAAGAACCTGCAGAGGCTACACAAATAACTGAAGAGTGAAATTATTCCTTCATTAAACACAACAAATATGGTTTAAAAAAAAAAAAACAACTTGTAGATTTTCAAAGCTGAGATTTTACTTTGACTTCCACATGGTTTGAGGCTTTTTGAGTTAAGATCACCACACCTAAAATTAGATGGATTATTTTTATTCACCATCAACATGTGTTCTCCAACAGGCGGAGAAGATGCGTGCTCAGCTCGCCTCTCTGCCTCCTCTCAATGTGACCAAGCTTCCCTCCAAAGACGGACGTCCTGAAGTGCTCTCCAGCGCCCTCTACCGTAAGACCGATCAGCTCCTTGAGACACTGCTGCAAATGAGTGCCAATGTCAAGGTGGTGGACATCACTGGAAAATCTCCTGGTATGTGACATTTCTTCCTCGAGGAAAGGAATTCATAAATATTTGACACGACAGTGTCAAAAGCAGCACAGTTAGACTGAATAACTTTTAGCTGAGTGAAGAATTAATGTGCAAAGAAAACTAAAATGTTCTCCTACCTGATATCTCACCACCAAGAGTAATTATTTTGATTAAACTGGCATTTTCCCATTTCTGTAGGCTAAAGCAGGTTAGGTAACAGGAAGTCTTCATAATATTTGCCTTGTATTGTTTGTGTTGTCTGCTAAATCTATAGAATCCTGGATGATCTTAACTTAATTACACCAGAAATCATGTGCAAATATTTAGAACTGATTGTTGGGCACTGATTTCAGAGATTTTCTCATTTTGTTTTTGCCCTGCAGTGACCCCTGGTGCTCAGCTTCTGGAACAGACAGCTAGACTGCAGTCCCTGAATGACACTCTGGACAGACTGAAGGTGCAAATAAAACACAAAGCTGTGAAGCACAGAGAGAATAAGCTGATAAAAAATGCACAAAAGTTACATTAAAACATTACTGTTCAAGCTGATGCTGAACGTGAAGTACTCACCTTAGTCTTCATCTCTTCTGCTTCTGTCAGGACGAGGTAGCAGAACATGTCGTCAACCTGCAGCCCGGAGCCCGAGTCTCATCTGATTTCGCCACGTTCCCTTCGACCTCATTTGTTAAGGTAAGTCTGCTGGTCCATGCACTCTGGTAAAGCTCTGTTTTGACTTGGAGGTGGATGAATGAAAGCTTTTGGCGGTCTCACAGTAGCAACGGGGTACAAATACTTGTGAATTTAAAGTTCTAAAGCCGAATGCTTTTCTGTGTTTAGGTGAAGGAGGAGAAGAAGGGTGACACGGTGCTGGTGGGAAGGGTCATGGTGCCGTGTCCCCGCGGTCAGGAGCAGGTCCACCGCCTCGTCCTGTCACAGTCGGAGCTTTGGCGAGTTCACAGTCTGCTGCGGACCTAAACATCACATGCCCCGCCTTCCCGCCAGCCGCACCAAAACACTCCACCACCATCAGCTTTTTCTCCAGGGCCAAACAAGTCAAACCAGGAGGCTTTTTAGGTTATTAGCTATGAGATTACAACCTGCAGCTCTGGCATCAAAGTGCACAGGTGAAGGCTAAAACGTAGAAATATAGAAGTCTGAATTTGTTAGTCGACTGACAAGCAGCTTATTGGCAACTGTGTTAGTCATTGTCACATTAAGTTTTGAAGACTGAGAAGTCTTCCTCAGATTTTTAGCGTTTTTAAATGTCGAGGGTTTTCATGTGTTATTTGAATATCAGTGGAATCTACACTGATGGCTTGAAAAACATTTCTTGTAATTATTCCTATTTTAAGACATTTTAAAAGAACTGAGAAAATAACTGGGGAGATTAACTACTAGTGATTACTTTCAGTCCAGGTCAGAGGCTAAAGAGAAGGACTGTTTTGTTTTTTCACACAGCCAAAATCAGACTGCACATCTTTGCACATGTGACTCGTTTCAGGCAACTCTGCATTTGACTGAGGCCTTGCTGGCTGTAAATTGGAACCTGGATGATGAGATTGTGATGCCATCCTTGTAATTTACGTCTAGATTTTGTTTTATGGCCAGAAAAACAGAGATACAAGCGACAATGCTCTTGCATGCTGCCCAGATTCACCAAATCTATGTAGTAGAAAATGAGCCAGCCTCCTCCTGCACCCTGGTGTGGTTTATATTTGGCCAGAACATTGGATGTTGTTTCATATTTCCCGTTTGCAGTTATTGCCTAACGAGATGTGAAGAATCATGAGCCTGTGCTGTAAACTTTCATGAGGTGTCACAGTGACGTTCTCCGTTTTAAGAACATTGCTGTAAAAGGAAAGGAGCACTGAAATGATGGATTTGCCGGTTTAAGTGAGCGGGCATTGACACGGTTTTTTTGGGGTTTTTTTGCACATTTAATTTAAATACTGAGCCTTCTGAAGTTAAATACAAACTGAGGGTTTTAGTGTTTACCTCTGTGGCTTTGCTGGTTGCACAGAACAGAAAAATAAAACAAAAACATTAAGCTCAGTGGTTTTCCTGAAATTCTTCTGCAGATTTACACACAATCTGGCTGCACTTTAGCCAGAGCATTACATGGTTTAAATGATTTCACATATACTACACTTTTGGTGTAACCTGTAACTGTGTATTTTATTGGCTTGGTATAAATGACACACTGGTCGCACTGGTGATATTCGACTGCATTGCTTGTGTTCTGCCGAGCTTCCCGTTGCTGTAGATTTTGTAAACTTTGTCCGAGCCTTAAACCTGCAGAGAGCCTTTTGGTAAAGATCAGTCACCTGCCTTATTTTCAATTTGTTTCAACCAAACATTGTTTAAGCAAAGCAACATCTTTGCCAAAGAGTCTTTGTTTTTCTTCTCTTCACATCTGCCATGTTTGATTTTCAAGGAGCTTTTAATTTATTATTAATTTGTCTAATAGACTGTTTTGTTTACACAGTGCTGTCATAACTTGAAGTTTTATTTATTAATGGGAATCTAAGTAACTGTAGTTAAAGAGGGAAATGCAGACATCTCTTATTTATTGGTTGTAATATTTATCTGTGCTCTCAGTGAGCAGCTGATGTACTGAAACTGCAGCTTGTCTTACCTTTTTCCTTGTGTGGCTTCTTGCTCATGCACAACCAATAACTGATCAATAAAGACATTAAAACAAGCATTTCACCGTCTTGAATCTACTGTGGGTTAAGCAAAAACAATAATTTACATCTAAAACATGTAAATTTGTTCAAATTTTGTTTATTTTAACATAAAAACATTTTCTAGTTGCGAATTTGACCTTAAAAACAAACAAACAAAAACATCAGAGATGTTTCCATTTAAATGTAATTCTAATTTCAACATAATCTTTAAATTAAAAATATGTACATTAAAAGTGTAAAAAATAGTTTCACGTCGTTGATTTCAATATCCAGTCTCTTGTTCTGATTATTGCCACGCTGATCTTCTGCCCAGGAGTCTGTTTGTGATTCTCTAAAAGAGACACAAAACACAGTCATTGATTCGATTCACACAACGTTACAGTTTGACACAGCAAGCAGTCTTAAAGACATCTGTGGTTTCAATCATACAAACTGCTTTAACACACAACTTTCTTCTAATTTGAGCGCGTGAGGCTTATTTATAGGAACATGTAATTGGAGTGCTCGAAGCACGGACACATGGATGACAAAAGGTGTTTGTACCTTGTTGAAAAGTTGTGCATTCAGTCGGTAAGTGTGATACTCTGCTTTCCTTCGTTCCTCCTCTCTCCTCCTCTGCACCTCTGGCAGATTCTCGTATATCCTGACGGAGAGACAGTGTTCAGTAGAAGATAGACTGACACTGATACTGTGTGAGGTACAGTTATGGTTCTGATGTCGTCACATAAAATGAATCATAACAGCAGCTTACTGTTTGGACCTCTGGATCATCTCCTTCCTGGGAACGGCCCTCTGGAGCAGAGCAGCGCCTTCAGAGAGAGAAACAAACCATAATTAAAAACTAACTGAATAACTCTCTAAGTTAAATCAAAAAAGACCTTATAGTCCCTCAGGTAACATTTACTGGATATAAGAAGGACAAGTGGACAGATTATCAGCTCAGTAAACTAAAAGTTCTTTGAGCAGCATCCATCCCCTCCGCTGTTTGGTACCTGCAGGCCTTGGCAACCTCCCAGCTCCTCCTGGGTGGTTAAATAGATCCCCCCTCTCTTGGATTAAAGCAGCTTGTAGCTTCCTCTCCTCCACCTGCAGAAACAGACGATTCACCCTCTGCATGGACCGGGAAATAAACTCTGGACGATGCATCTCCAAGGCCTCCTGCAAAGTAACAGGAAACCGACAGTGTTACCTTTTTAATTGGTATTATGATGGTAAAGTTTATCTTGCTGACACCCATGATAGAAGCCTTTAAGTAGGTAAGTTACACGTCTGAAATTCAAATCTTTTCATACAATTCCTACGACTATAATTCTCTAAAGAGGAATATAAGCTAACCTGAAGTGACATGTATGCTGGACCAGAAGACATCATGTGTTTAGGATCAGGCTCCGGCTCCAGTTCAGGCTCAGAGTGATGTTTGTTTGTGTCCTCATGCACTTGTCTCTGTCTGAGCGGCTGTCTCCATGGGTTGATTCTGCTGTACGGTTCAAACCAGGCGATGTTTGGTCTCTCTTCCTCCGGCTGGTTCTCCTTCCTTGCCTCTGACAGCAGGCCGTCAGCAGAGATGAACCATGAAACGGCTGAAAAAGCCCACAGAAAAAATTTAACCAAGAATAAAACAGGGATTTAATTTAGAAAATGAAAATTTACAGTTAGCTACAAACAGGGATGGGCACCGGTTCTAACATAAACGGTAGTAACCAGACCGAAAAGCAGCGCACATTTCCTGAGATTTTTTTTTCCCTGAGATGCCGTACACTTTTAATTCTAGCCAATCATTTTACCCTTGCAAGCGTAGTAGGCGGGCCCAGGTACATACGTTCTTTTAGAGCAGAGCTACAGATTAAAAATGTCCAAGGCGAAGCGGTCAAAGTCTGGCTGTACTTCACAGCAAAAGATGCAAACTCAGCAGCCTGCAACAAGTGCTTTAAGGTGATACTGTGCAAAGGAGGTAACGCCTCAAATCTGATGAAACACCTGGCGAAGCATAGCGTTATTTTTAAAAGCCGAAAAATGCACCGTATTTGATAACTTGCTGCAAGACCTCACACCGAGTGCAGGTGTGGGGTGTGCACCTGTTATCGGACCCGGAGTTAGCAACATCCCCCAAGAACCCGAAGACGAGAGTCCTGGTCCCTAGCCCTGCCAGTGTAGCAGAAATGATGATGGATGATGATGCAGCAGCAGCCGTTCTTCTCTGCGTGAGTAGCTTAATGTTGTTCGTGTGTATTTTACGTTGAGTAGGCTAACCACGTTATTACATTAATGCACGTAAGGTGAACTAGCAAACACCGTCGTAGTTACATGCGGCTGTCTTCTTGTTTGATGGCAGATACTCTCTTCACCCTGGCCAAAAAGGCTAAAATGACCAAAGAAAAAGTAGAAAACAGGTAAACATGAGAGGTTTTTGGACAAAGTTTGTGTTCTCCATTCTTTAAGCACCGGCACCGTTTCAAAAGTACTGGTTTGACACCGGTATCGATAAAACCTAAACGATACCCACCCCTAGCTACAAATCGTTGCTAGTTTACAAACCTTTAGGGTAAGGCTTTGGTGGGGTTCTCTTGCTCCTCCTCCGCCCTCCTCTTTCTCTCACTACGCTGGACGAAGACAACGAGATCTGCTTGAAAGCTCTAGCTCCTCCCGGGGAAGGGAACGTGGTTCCAACATCTCTGGTGTGTCGTCGAGTCCCGTTATGAACAATCTCCAGGTCACCTGTGTGAATTTGGACTGAATGTATATTAACTCCATCACATGTGCTTCACTCGTGTTAAAACACACTCCTGCCTTATTTTCAGGAGAAAGCCTTAAAAGCGTGACAAACACAAATGAATACATTTTATGCCAAGGAATTTTAACAGAAATGTAATCTTAGCACAGACGATTTCACAAAGATTTTACAGCACCAGCAGCTGGTGCCAATAAACCTTTACAAAAAGGACCAGAATGTTCTTGTATATCACAATTTTAACTAAATCTGATGAATCAGTGGGACATGCGTCTTCTCTGACCTGCCTGGATTCTTTTGTTCACCAGTTTAATGGCCTTCCTACCCTGCAGACTCCGGGAAGGCCCGTGGTGTGAGGGGACGGTGTAAGTGCTGGTCGACGATACAGAGTCAGCAGCAACCTGAAGACGAATACAGTAACATCAAATGTTAGAAAAAGTTATAATTTTTCACTCACCTGCCACTTTGTTAGGTAATGTTCAACTACTCATTATTGTAAATATCTAATTAGTCAATTATATGGCAACAACTTTGTGCTTTTAGGCATGTGGAGATGGTCAAAATGACTCGCTGAAATTCAAACTTGTTGGTACCAGACGGGCTAGTCAAAGTATTTCAGAACTTGCTGATCTACTGAAACACAACCATCTCTAGTGTTTACTTTTGCTTTACAGATTAGTGAACATTCCTTAAGATCGGTTTAATAATCTCTTACTCAGCAGCACGCAGATATACATACCGACTGATCAGTGCTGGTTGTCACTGACAGTGCAGAGGCATGAGGAGGCTTTCTGTTTCTTCCTCCACTGTCCTTCCTCTCTTCTTTTTGCTTGTTGATGGTGTTGTACAGTTTACTGAGGCTTGGGGCGCTTTTCAGGTGCTGTACTTTGTGGGGGCCAAAGACTCGGATCAGTCGGGCTGTGTCCACAGTGGACATGGAGCCAGACGTGGTAGACAGGGTCTCCAACACATGTCTGTCTCTGGGAGAGCCGTACTGGCTCGGGGAGGAGCTGTGGGAGAAGCTGGAGGTGAGGGAGGCGTGGCTGCCATCCTCTGTAGACCGGCAGGTTTCATCAACACGAAAGCTCAGTTGAATGGGAGATTCAGTTTTTCTCTGTCCTCTTAATTTACTCCCATCTTCTCTGACTTCACCTCCTACACTCCTCTTAATCTCCCCCCAAGTCTGCTTTATTTCTTTCCTCCTCTTTGACACATCCTCTCTCCTCCTCTCCTGTTCTGGATGATAACCAGTCACCTTCTGTGCATCACACACATTAAATCCCCTTGCACTTTGAATAAGGCGAGAAAGGTGCTCTAAACGCTCCAGAAGTGATGCTTCTCTGTCACTGCTGGGATGCAACTCCTCTGTGGTCCACTGATCGCAGAACTTTTGCCACAACTGGTCCAGAGGGTGCTCAGAACCCCTCTGCTGCTCGCTTCCTGTCTGAGGCTCAGAGGTTTGGACCCAGTGAGTGTTTCCTTTACCGTAGTCCATTTCAGAAATAAACGGCTGAAACCTCTCAGGGTGAGACTCGCTTTGATGGTGTTGGGTGAACTGGATTGGGCTGGTCCCCTGGTCTCTCTTGAAGGTTTCTTGATTCCTCAGTAACGATTCCTCGATAAAAGTGACAGAAACCTGAGAAGAAGGCTTTAGTCTTTGGCTCACAGTCTGCAAGCTTTTATTCGATGTTGTAGAGGCATCTGTCAGGAGACACACACACAGAAAAATTACACACAGTAACAGGACACCAAGAACCAGCTAGTTTTCAGACACAAAACTGTCCAACTTAACATTTACAGCAACTTCATAAAATTAATGAACTCACATGATTACCTTTTTTCCACATACTAGTAACATAATGTTTCAGAATCAAACCAAAGAAATAAAGGAGGTATCCAGTGTGAATATGCATGCGTCGTGTTCAGGTTACCTCTCTTCCTATTTTCTTGCATGGTCAAGTTGGCAGTTTTCAGCCTCTTGCTGTAGATGCCCTCTGTGTGTCTGATGGTCACTCCGCGGTCCAACCCTGGGTCCTTGTTCCCGAGGACGTCACTGCTAAAGTGAGGAGGCACGGCGTCGTCTGAGCCTAGTTAGAATTCAATACTCTCTGTTATCTCATGAGGAGTGGCATTCAGAGCAAAACACGACTATTCTTCTTGTAAAAGCAAAACAACAACAAAAAAAAACCAGTTAAAAAAAGTAAGCGAAATATTTTGGGTAAATATTTTGAAAAGAAATGAAGATGTTCAGGGACAGCCTGCGCTTGTCGTCTCAGGGTCTCAGCCCTGCCTTTGTTTCACCCAGCCCCTGAACATGAATAATTAATGTGCTGCTTGGTGTACATTACAAAGAACCAGCTGCTACCCATTCAAGCACAGGAGAAATGAGAGCTCACAATTCAATTCCCAGCACGCCTCTGAATTCTTATTTCTAATCCTTTGAACATGTTTTACAGCTTGCAGTGTGATTTACGAAAGCATTAAAGATGCAAAAATGGCCCCAAAAATTCTCGTTATAGACATAAATAATATATTTTGTTCAAAGAAAAGAAAAAAACCACCCTAAACTCACCAGGTATGAAACTGTGGTTTAAGATCTAACAGTGTGAACAGACTACAAGCTGCGAGCTGAACTGCAGATGTTAAAATCCTCATCTTGTGACACTTCAGCACAGCAATATGGGAACAAGGCTGAAAAAGAAAAACAAATCTGTGATAAATGTACCTGTGTGGGTGCTCTCCATGGTGGTGTCAGATGCCTCTGTGGAGGAGAGATCAGCCTCTGTGTGAGGGACATAGAAGACCTCCTCACTGCCATGAGGTTTATAAGGCAGCAGGACAGGCACTGAAGTAGGAGGGAGATGCAGTTGGAATCAGTTGGTATTATGACTGATGTATTGCTGAAATTACAGACAATTAAAAAAGGGGAAAAAAAAACTACCTGGGGTTTCGGTGTTAAAGGGTCTTGTTGAAATTTCAGATCTTTCACGTGGTGTAAAGGGCTGTGCAGACGTGGTGGTCATCCTCTCCTGAGGCACAACAGTTTTAAAAACAGTAGAGCTGTTGGATCTTTCAGGCAGCCGCTGTCGTGATGGCTCTCTGGTGTCGCACCACTCAGGTGGACTGGACAAACCGACACCTTCATCCGGACTGCTGGCGGCTGATAAAGAATTTGTCCCCCTGAGACATTCATTAGGTGGCAGCCTTGAGATTACATCAGCCTGACTGGAGTAGACTATAGAGGTGAAGCTGGGATCTGTAGCTTTGGGGGGCAGAGTGAGATCGACATGTGAGCTGTGACCTGTATGGGTGGAGGTTTCAACTACAGATGAGCCTGTGGCCTGATCTAAAGCATGACTAACACCCATACCAGAAGCAGATAACTTACTATCTGGCCTGAATGACTGTGTGCTGTTGTATCTGACAGTCACATCTACTTTATCTAAACCCTGTGAGGGAGGAAGCGGCTCTTCAAACTGGCCTCCCTCAGTGTCTTGCCTCTTCTGATTGGCTGGTGCAGACTGAGTCACATTTTGATTCGTGCTGTGCAAACTGTTACTAGGTCCATGCACTGATGATTGTTCCCTGGTTGTTGTTTGTAGTAAATCAACCCCATGCTCTTCAGTCAGTTGCCTGTCTGTTGTTGTGGTTCTGACGGCTCCTGATGAGAGCTCGGTCAGGCGGAGGGGCTCTGGGGCTGGGCTGATGGGAGGTGGGGAAGTGGAATTTGAGGGGGAGGTGGAGCTTCTGTGGGTGGCGATAGTGATGGATGTGAAGACCTGAGGTTTTTTAGTAGGAAGTGTCACTCCTTCTCTGGCAGCAATTTCACACACTCGAGCTTCTAGGTCTGACTGAAGAGCAGTTTGTAGCAGTGTCCTGGAGTCGCGGGTGGTCCTACTCAGGCTGTGCAGCAGCTGGGTTGGCTCATTTATAGCATCCCTAGGAACAGCAAACGTCTCCGCAGATTGAGATGGATCAAGCTCCCTCGAGATTTTAACACTGGAAGCTACACTGCTCTCTGTATCGGTGCTGAACTGGCTCTGAAAGAGGCAAAAAACAAGTCTGTGTCAAATAGGGAGACCAGGAAAGGACATTGTTGGTGTTATACGTGTTCTTCATTCACCACACATCAAATATTTTTGCACTGCAAACCTGCATGTGAACCATAACTGGTGACAGTTTTATTATTATTATAATTTGTCTACAACAAATTAACATTTGCCCACAGCAGTCCTGCAACACACCAGTTACCTTGAGTATGAGAGCTGTCCAGACACGTTTAGCAGATGATAAATAAACGTTTACACAAATTTAGTTTAAAATGCATACAAACGTACGTATTTACATTTTATAATTCACTATATTTAAGTACATTGCTACAAATTACATACGGCGGTTGCCTACTTTGTAAAGTGCAGTAATTAAGAGTCGTTCTTATAATAATTACCTTTATGGGATTTTTTAACAGCAGTTCTCGCTTGATCTCTTCTATCCGCCTTCTGTCTTCTTCGTCCAGCTGCAGAGGCTCACACTGCTGTCCTGATAGCTTCAGCTTAATCCATTCTGCAACATTAAGACACGCTTTTTCATCTGACAAAGACGTCTTTGATGTCTTAAGCTACAATTTAAATAGGATCACAATTTAAACTAGATCAAATCTAAACAAATTTGAAGGGTCAAGTTGTGCAGCTAGTGGTCAGTGCGGCAGGTGAATTTTTGAACTTATCTAAAATGTTAAAACCTTAGATGTAAGAAACTCATTCATGAGTGTATGTTAATTGTTTTACCTCTAGCTTTGCTCTCTTCTTGGTCTGAAATGCTCGGTGTACTGGAGACCATGGTGGATGGAGATTCACTCTGCAGCAACTTGGCCACTCTGGCTGTCAGTGAGCTTTCACAGCTCCCATCACTCATCACTCCTTGATCAGCATCCTTGAGGATGGGTGAGGAGGACCTGCTCTGTGAAGCACCTTCAGAGGGAGTGTTTTCCTCCTCCTCCTCTGGGACATCAACTGAATCTGTAGGCGTAGAAGTGAGCTCTTGTGTACTCACAGCTGGTGGAGGTTTGATGGCCACCGGCTGTGTGGGGGCTTTGTCAGGAGGTGCAGCACTGCAGCCCTCAGGCTCTGTCCGGAAGGCTGATTTGGAGAGGACAAGTGACATCCCTGCACCATTAACATTGCTATCTTGTGGTGTTTTGTATGCCACTTTGGTTGGTGCAGTAAAAACAGCTTGTGTGGATAAATAATCAGATTGCAACGATCGATTTACACCTTTCTGACCAAAAGAGCTTTTCCTCATCTTCTCTGAGGTCAGCATGGAGTCAGAGGAGGATCTGGTCCAAAGCAGTGAGGAACATGTTCTTTGGTCTCCAGTTGTAGAGGACGAGGACAAATCCTCAAGTCTGCTGGTTTTCTTCTTCAGTAATGGGGATATGTCCTGATCGGGGAGAAGACGGGGGCTAATGGGGGAGGTTGAGGAAGCCGCAGAAGACCCAGTGGACATTATGGTCTCTGTATGAGAGACCAGTTTACGGATTTCCAACAAGGCCTTGGAGCTAACGAAAGAATCTTCTGCACTTTGATCTGCACTACGACTCGTTTGTAAAAGCAACTCCAAGCTTCTTTCTCTGTGCCTCTCCTTGACAGCTGGTGGCATGTCAGGGTTAAATTTGTCTTCTACCTGGCTGATTCCCCCACTGCTGCTTAAACTGCTGTCCTTCTGCTGTTGGCAAGGCTGCGGTATGGAAGAACGAGTGTTTTCATTGGGTGAGGTGTAAGGTGCCAGTTTGTGTTTACTCTGTCTAGCTTCTGTATGTGATGTAGGAGAAGTCCACCTGGCCTGCTCTGGGATAGTTGCCGCTGGACAGAGACTGTCCAGGCTGAACGGTATGGATATGCTGGAGTCTACTGACAGAATGCTGGACTGGGAAAACTCCTCTTTGTGGGGACTGCCACCTGAAAACACAATACCATATTTCAAACTGTAAAACCCCTCAAATTTGGGTACTTAAATGGGTGTGTGAACAGGATATATGACCATATTTTCATGGCCTGAGGAATTTTTAAAATCTCAACAGCTTTTCATAAAAGTAAACCTGTAATAGTAATTGTTGAGGTTAGATACCCTCGGAGGGTTGAGTGCTTTTAGTTGGGGTTCCAGTAGATCCTTTAATTGTGCAGAACTCAGTGGGAGAGAATTCAGGCTCTCTGATTGGTCCCCTGGGCACAAACGGAGTCAGGATTGTAGATGGAGACTGGTCTATACCCAAGTTACGAAGATACAACTGGAAAAAAAACCAAAAAAAAAACAGAGAGAAGACCAGATAATAAAGTGTAAGTCTAAACATAGAGTATTTTTCCCAGGTTGTTTTTTTTTTTTTTTTTTTTTTAATTTACCGGAATTCGTTCATCAATGTTGAGCTCTCGAGGCTTGGGGAGAGGTGGTGTTGACAGTTTTGAAGTCCACGAGGGTACGTAGTTATCAATTTCTAGGCTGACAACAGATGACGTCCCAATGGAAGTTCCTAACTTTACTCCGCTGCAACTATCTTGAGAACTCGAAAGTGTCAAGTCTCGATCAAGTGACACATCACTGAAGTGACCGAGGCTTGTGAGATGTGAGGTTTGAATTGTATTGGTTTGATCATGATGATGAGCATCATCATCCTGGTTTTGACTCTTGTCTCTTTCTGAAGGGCTGTCGATCTGCTGATCTTTTTGAACTGACATCACAACTGTGCTAAGAGAAGAGTGAGACTGTGACCTGCCTAGGGGTGAGGCAGAGGGTGGTACTGCAGACCCCGTGTTCTCCTCATCAGCAAGAGCACTGCCCACTGCCTCCGTTCTTCTTGGAGAAGAATAGCCAGAAGGTGCTGTTGAGGAGGTCTGTGTGGCAGCACCTGAAACAAGAGGCTGCTGTAAACTCCTAATCTTCTGACTAACCAGTTCATTCAGGCTGCCAGATACTGCATCATAACCTTTCTGTTTAGAGGGGATGCTAGAAAATCCCTGCAGTGACAGTCTATCAAACAAAGACACCTTGCCTGAACTCTGATTTGCCCTCCACGCATCTACTTTCTGCATATAGTTTAGACTTGGGAGGGACTGGACTTTTGCAGAGGCAGCATCCTCTTGGCACTGAGTGGCTGTGTTTGTGTTATGGGTGCAAACTACAGGAAAAGCTGGTTGTTGAGAAATTTTTGTGACTGACTGATAAGAGTTCTCTTTACTAGATTCAGTGGAGGAAAGGTGCCCCAATTTATCCTTAACACTGGATTTGGTTGGGGCATTAAAAATCCCTGGAGTGGACTGAGACTGTGGAAGAAAACCCAGGTAGGAGCCATCCAACCCTGTATGGTTTCCTGAGGACCAGAGGTCTTGCTCTCTGCAAACCCGTTCAACACCTGTTGAAAATGGCCCTGTCCATTGCATACCAACCACATTTGTTCTACTCGCACTTGGCTTCCCCTCAGACATCTGTTTGAGATTAGGTGTGAGAGATGGACCAGGTGGCGTAGGACGTTTTTGCTGTTTGTTTTTGGATTCAGCTTCAATCCTGCTGCGTTTCTCTACTTCAGAGAGCAGCTCTCTATGTAACATTTCACTACTCTCATCAGGCTGAGTACTGCGGGAACCCACAGTGATGTTAGACACTTCAGATAACACTGTTTGTGGTTGGTCAGGATCTGAAACTTTGTGCTGCTGTTGTGTCTGCTGCTGGGGAAAAGAGACTTCACCTGGAGGGTGTTCTCTTACATCAGTAGTTTGCTGAGTGGTCAGTTCACAAACCTCAGTACTTTTAGACTCTTCTGTAGAAGGCTCTGTTCTCTTCACAGAGGTTTCAGAGGCAGAGGAAGTAGCACTGCTATTGCTGCTAAGCATCCCAACATCTTTCTGCAGGAGCTTCAGAAGATGCTGAGCAGGTATATTCTTACTCAGAAAGAACGTCTCATCTTCAACAGGTTCTCCTTCTAGCTTTGCTCCAGGTTTAATCAAGGTCTCTAGGTCCTTCTCTCTGCTACTCATATCAATGACAATCACTGGGGGATGAACCCTTTCCTCTCGTTTACTTTGCTCCCCTGGTGATAGACTGTGCTGAGAGAGGGAGCAGCAGCTGCTTTCTCCTTCTTCAGAAAGGATGCTTGCCTGGGCCAATGGGTGCTGGGATAATGAGCCACGCTCAGAGGTACGAGTGGTGTGATCCTGGGATAAAAACTGAAACCGCTCTGAAGCCATGGAAACATCAGGGTATGCCCTTAAAACGTAAATAATAATTATCCATCTACATGTTATACATTCACACAATATGTAGAAAACTATGCACACAGAGCAAGCGATTAAGATGACTTTTTTTTCTTACCTTAGAGGGGCAAATTCTGTCTCACTTTGTTGTAATAAAGAAAACTCAGTGAGGTTGTGATCAACTCCAGGTAATAGGGAAAGGGCTGGAGACATGTTACTGTCCTGAAAATCTAACAGAAAGTGCAGAATGAACACACACAAATAAAAAAAGCAGCAATCTAACATAAAACTATGGTAAGACCCATCAGTGTTGGCAGCCTCCTGTTGTCATGAATAAATCATACATCAAACAAAATCTGTTTTCGATGACAAAGTCAGAGTTAAGTGGGCTGAGACACTTGCAAAAGATGAAGAGATTAAAGCTCTGCTGACACTCCAGTAGTATACAATCTGCAAACTCTACTTTGTCTATACCAAATCTACCAAATGTATCATGCAGAGGAAATAGGGGTTTAATATACTGATAGCATTCCAATCTACAATCATTACTGTGTTAATATCCATACCTAACTGTAGAGCGGGTGTTCTTGGCTGCTGAAGTTCAGAATGTCTTTGTGTTCCTAGTTGGCTTATGTGTGTTTGTCCAGCAGAACGGCTCACATCTTCATCTGCTGGCAACTCAGGAGATGCTGCCCTCCTCTGTGAAAATAATCACACTTTAATTCTGGCAGCATTTCATTTACAGGAGGTCCCGCATTACTACATGGTGGTTTGAGGGCATCAAACGAAACTGAGCAATCAATAACTCTGCTTGAGACAAGCCAATGTCTGTTGTGAAAAACGTCTGTTACTTGATGAGCAAAGTGGAAAGCAGAAAGTTCATACATTCATCTCATGCAGCTCTGATTCCAGTTTGATTACACCAGTATTACACTGTTGTCAGTCAGAAGTCAGAGGAAAATTCCCAGACTGATTTGAACTGATAGGAAGGCAACAGCAACTCAAACAAGTGTTTGTTACAACCAAAGTATGCAGAAGATGTACAATACATGAAACCTTTAACAAATAAGCTACGGTAGGACCAGCAAGACCAGACCACATGCCTTTGGTATCGCAGGAAAGCAAGAAACTGAAACTAAAGTCTGCAACGGGCTCACCCAAACTGGACAAAATAAGACGAGAAAAACGTTGTTTGGTCTGATGCAACAGTTGAATGGTAGGGTCAGGCCTAAACAGGATAAAAGTACGGATATATCCAGCCTTGTGTCAATTGTTCAGGTTGGTCCTTTCTTACCAAATGAGCATCATTTAAACACTGCAGTTTACCTGAGTATTGTTGCTGATCATCTCAGTACATAATACAATTATCGACACTCTTCTATTTTGGATAGAGAACACGCTCTTCTCGTTTCTTCATTCGTAGAGTTCTTCCTTTTAGAAATGATGGTGGATAGCTACAGACGGTAATGATCCTCATAGCAAGTCTGTGTTTTTTAACTATATAAACAAAGCATTATTGTAATCTATTTCTATTTATTAACAAATCTGCGGTTTTCGAGTCGGCACATTAGCAGCACTTAGTCATCAAAGTGATTTATTTATAACTAACAGACTAAATGGACTGACAAACAAGAAGCAACAGGTTACATTTAACCTGGTGTAACTCAGGAGACTAACCATTGACTAATGTGCATATTCTTTACGTTTGTTGCAACTGGACATGGAACAAGGAACATTATACTGGAGAGAGACTTAGCTAACGTAACCTGAGGGTAACGTTAAATGCTAGTTAGCAAAGCGGTTAGCATTTAGCTCGCTAGCCAGCTAGCTACTAATATCGCCAACACTGTGATTATATTCACATTTCCCGCCTTGAGAATTACTTTAAAGGCTCCCGAACTACGAGTTCCAATATTATCACACCAGAAGACAAGCTGCTATCGTGCAAATTACCTCTGGAGGTTCCATGCTGTCGTTTTTGTTGTTGTTGTTGTTGTTGTTGTTGTTGTTACTGCTGACAGTCCGCCACAACGAGCGCGCCTCTACCTTTTCCTAGCAACAAGGGGCGTTGCTAGGAAATACAAGCTCCTCAGCAAGGGACGTTCTTCTTCTTCTGTGGTGTTGGCACTTTACATCCCCTTATGTTATCTTACTGCCTCCTCTTGATTCTTTCAGTCGTAATTTATATTCGTGAAAAAGTCCCATTCCCTCCACTGATCCACAGACACACGAGCTCACTTTTAGATTGATGTCCAGTATCTCCGAACTTTGTATAGTTGGAT